AGCCCGGGAAATTCAAATCCCGGGCTTCATTTGCAAGTGCAGTATGCCTACATTACCCCGCTAGTTCGAACTAGCGGGGTAGTGTAGACATACTCTGTGGGAATTGGGTCTGTTTAGTCTGCAGAAGCAAAGAGTGAGGGGGGATTTGATATCAGCCTTCAACTTCCTGAAGGGAGGTTCCAAAGAGGATGGAGAGAGGCTTTTCTCAGTAGTGACAGATGGCAGAACAAGGAGCAATGGTCTCAAGTTGTGGGGGGAGAGGTCCAGGTTGGATATTAGGAAAAACTATTTCACTAGGAGAGTGGTGAGGCACTGGAATGGGTTACCTAGGGAAGTAGTGGAGTCTCCATCCCTAGAGGTGTTTAAGTCTCAGTTTGAAAAAGCCCTTGCTGGGTTGATTTAGTTGGGATTGGTCCTGCCTAGAGCAGGGGGCTGGACGTGATGATCTTCTGAGGGCTCTTCCAGTTCTATGATTCTATGATACTATGATAATCTTCATGCCTTAATCCACCAGTTCTGTTCATCTTATATTGGTGCAGGTAGCAATCTTGTGTGTATAGTTAGACATCTGGAGTAGAGAATGTTTCATGGGTTTTAAATGGGTGAAGGAAAGTCACCAAAGGAGGCCTCAGGGTCTGGGCACTTATATTCAAATAGCCTTTTGTCCTTAAGGCTTAGCAGTGGTTGGTGGGGAGCAGCCAGGTGACTCCCCATTCAATAAGGGGATTTTTTTTTAAAGAATAGGAAGGTCAGAGCCTTTGGGCTGTCTGGGCACTCCCATGGAAGGAGAAGTAAAGATGTCAGGGTGAGGGACAGCCCTGGTTTGGAAGGCTTTGCTAGAAAAGAGAGAGTTTTAGGGTGAGTTTGCAAGGAGTTTGTGTACCAAGGTTTCAGTGTTAGAATTAGGCAAGCGTTTTCTGTTACTTTTCATTTGTAATCTACTTTGCTGCGCCTCTTCTCACTTGTAACCACTGAAATCCTACTGCTTGTACTAATAAAATCACTTTTACTTACTGCCAAGCCCAATGTAAATAATTTTTACCTGGAGGGGCAACCAGTGAGTACGTTCTCCCTTTCATTGTGAAAAGGGGCTTACCCAGATAATTCATCAGGATTTGATCCCCTTTGGGAAGTGGTATCCCAGGAACTGGGGCCCTAAACTGCCCTCTCCTTGGACCTGAAGAGGTTCAGTGTCTGTACTGAGTTTTGGGAGAACAGGGATCTCAGCTTGGTGCCTTGGCTGGGGGAGACTAGCAAAGCTGACCCAACAGGACCAAGCAGTAAGAAGCCCCAGAGAGCAGGAAGTGGAGTAGCAGGGGCCTTGTCAACACCCCAGGAATCACCCCAAGGGATCTACTATGACCTCACCCCATCACAGTCATATTAGGGTGCATTAGGAGAAGCATTGCCATCAGATCTAGAGAAGTGATTATTCCCCTGTATTCTGCACTGGTGAGACCACATCTGGGCTGCCCATTACAAAAAGGATGCGGACACATTGAAGAGGGTCCAGTAGAGGGCACCAAAATGATGAGGGGGCTGGAGCACATGACCTATAAGGAGAGGCTGAGGGATTGATGCTTATTTAGTCTGCAGAAGAGAAGAGCGAGGGGGAATTTGGTAGCAGTCTGTAACTACCTGAAGGGAGGTTCCAAAGAGGATGGAGAGAAGCTGTTCTCAGTGGTGATACATGGCAGAACAAGTCGGGGAGGTCTAGGTTGGATATTCAGAAAAACTATTTCCCTAGGAAGGTGGGGAAGCATTGGCAGGGGTTATCTAGGGAGGTGGTGGAATCTCCATCCCTAGAAGTTTTTAAGTTCTGGCTTTACAAAGCCCTGGCTGGGTTGATTTAGTTGGGATTGGTCCGGCCTTGGGCAGGGGGCTGGACTCGATGACTCCTGAGGTCTCTTCCAGCCCTATGATTCTACAATCCAATGATGTGATAGTACCTGAAAGATATTTAAATTACTTTCACTGGTGGACTGAACCAAGATGAACCAGAACAACAGGATGAACCTGGAACAGGGTTGCTTCTCAATAAACTTTACAGAAAAGAGATAAAATGGAGATAGCTGAGTACTGCTCTGTTTTGGCATAGCCAAATCAAAAGGTCTGAAAACTAAAAGAAAATGCTATTGGAAACCAAATTAACTATAGACCTTCTGGCTGTGTCTAGACTGGCCAGTTTTTCCACAAAATCCTCTGATTTTGTGGAAAAACTTGCCAGCTGTCTACACTGGCCGCTTGAATTTCCACAAGAACACTGACGATCTCATGTAAAATCGTCAGTGTTCTTGCGGAAATACTGTGCTGCTGAAAAACTATGCTGCTCCTGTTTGGGCAAAAGTCTTTTTCTGGAAAACTGTTCTGCAAAAGGGCTTGTGTAGATAGCACAGTAGTGTTTTCTGCAAAAACACAAAAGGGCTTGTGTAGACAGCACAGTAGTGTTTTTTGCAAAAAAGCGCAGATCGCGAAAATGGCGATCGGGGCTTTTTTGCGGAAAACCGCGTCTAGATTGGCCACAGACGCTTTTCCGCAAAAAGTGCTTTTGCGGAAAAGCATCCTGCCAATCTAGACATGCTTTTCTGAAAATGCTTTTAATGGAAAACTTTTCCGTTAAAAGCATATTCGGAAAATCATGCCAGTGTAGACGTAGCCTCTTTGTTTAAACATATCACAGAAACAAATTACACTTGATAAAATTCCCATTTTAAAAACATGTATTAAAAATGGGAAAAAATGACTCCCTTTTTGTAATACATACAAAAAATTAACTTCATAAAAACAGCACTGTGTTTTTGAAAAATGCAATCATTTAAATAAAGCATGTACTTTTCCCCTTTATTAAAAAAAATTAAGTACCTGACAAATGTTGAACACATCTGCTAGTACCCTCTAATATCTTGGTTTTTTTTTTCTCATTTCAGCAACAAAAGTTCTGAACTCCTCGGATCTGCCCAGTGCAATATGTCAGTTGTCAATGACACCAAATTCACACACACCATGTTCTTTCTCAGCGGGATACCTGGTCAGGAAGACGTCCGTGTCTGGCTGTCTGTGCCCTTCTGTATAATGTATGTTATTTCTGTAGCAGGAAATTCAGTTATTCTGTTCATTATAAAAACAGATGAAAGCCTTCATGAGCCCATGTACATTTTCCTTTCCATGTTGGCCATCACAGACCTTGGCATATCGATATCCACCATACCGACAATCCTCGGTGTATTCCTGTTTAACTCAAGAGAGATCAGTATCAATGCCTGTTTTGCCCAGCAGTTCTTCATCCATTTTCTTCAGAGCACTGAATCTGCAGTGCTCCTGTTAATGGCCTTTGACCGCTTCATTGCGATCCGTAACCCCTTGAGATATGCTTCCATCTTAACCCTGCCCAGAATAGCCAAGATGGGTCTGGTGTTTTTTCTAAGAGGGGTGGTCGTAATATTCCCACTCCCCTTTCTCCTGCAACGGTTCCAATACTGTCGAGCCAACATCCTCTCCCATTCCTACTGCCTGCACCAGGACGTCATGAAGTTGGCTTGTTCGGACATCAGTGTCAACAGCATCTACGGCTTGTTTACTAAACTCTTAACTATGGGGCTGGACTCGTTTCTCATCTTCCTCTCCTACATGATGATCCTCAAAACGGTGCTGCACATCGCATCCCGCATGGAGTGCCTCCGGGCCCTGAACACCTGCGTCTCCCACCTCTGCGCCGTCCTGCTCTTTTATACCCCAGAGATCAGCCTGTCTGTCATGCACAGATTCGGGAAGGGCTCCTCTCCCTTGCTTCAGATTCTCCTGGGCTACGTCTCCCTGCTGGTCCCGCCCCTGATGAACCCCATTGTGTACAGCGTGAAAAGCAAACACCTGCGGGTGAGGATCATCAGGGTGTTCATCAAGTGAAGGGACAGCTCGTCCCAATTCCAGTGCTGGTGACATGGGAGATAAAACGCACAAGCCATTTCCCTCAACGCCCTCTGAGACAACATGAGCTACTGACGTCCACTTTGTAGAGAGGGACTGGGGAGGGCATTGAGAGAAATAGACCAGGGCAAGAAGCAGCATTTACAAAGTGACTGTGTTTGTGGAGTGTCAGTAGACTGCTGGGATGTGGGTCCTTATAGAGCTGTATCTGTGGCTATTGCAACCTCAACATTTTTGTCAATAAAGAAAGTATAGGGAAGGGAGGTGGCTGCTGTTTCCCATGACACCCGGCCTGTCACTGTCTTTTTTCGGGTGTATCATCCATGGGCCATGAGATAACCACAGAGCTGTTCTGCAGTCACAGTCCTGACCCTTCCTGACCTCTCTGGGTGCTGTGTGACCCATGGGATTGCAAAAGGTTAGCAGGGCCATGGTTGAGGAGTGAATGATCAGAGAAGACAGTTATCAAGTTATCCATGTCACCCATTCACAGTTTCTGGAAAACAGATGCCAGAGACACCATCCTCACCCACCCCGGCTAAAAATCAATTGATGGAACAATCCTTTGTGAATGTATCTAGTTCTTTTTGCAATACTGTTTTAATGTTGGCCTTAACGGCTTCCTCTGTCAAGGTGGTCCACAGTTTGACTATGGGTTGGGTGAAGAAATACATACATTTTTTTACACCTGTGGTCTACCAGTGTTGTTGACTACCCCTATTTCTTGTGGGGAGCTGGAAGCAGAGTGTAGGGGGAATTCTGCCCAAAATAACATCAGCCAATCACAAAACAGGGATTGACACCCACTTCTGAATGGTTTTGGATGGACTAAATGAGCACAAGAGTGCCATGGCTACGAAATGTAATATATAATAATGGGGTGAAATCGTAAATACACTAGCCTATAGCTGAAGGACCCACTGAACTGAGGCGGAGAAAGAAATACAAACAAGAAAGAGGAGAAATGCAATTTGAATATGCATTGTCAGCATAACATAAGATAACAGTGACATCTTGAGGCTGTAGGAAACAGAAGTAGAGGCTTTGGGGAGGCCTACTCTAATCATTTTAAAATCTCTGGGCTTGATCTTGGGACAAGAGCTTGTCAACCTTCAAAGTGATAGCTGGGAATTTTGATTCCGAATCTATATATTGGGCTAACCTGCCTCAGCCCTGACCTACTGCCTGGGGAAATTGTACAGGTAAATGTGTTAAGGACTGCTAAGTGCTCAGGTGTTATAATAATTGCAGTCTCAGCTAAGGGTGTCTACACCACAGAGTTTTGTCAGAAAATCGGCCATTTTTCCATCAAAACTTGAGGAACATCCACACAGCAATTGCGTTCTTCCATAAGAAAATTGAAAGAGCAGAGGGTTTTTTCCAGCATTGGTATTTCTCTTTCTGCAAGGAAGAAGCCTTTTTCTGAAAGAGCTCTTTTGCAAAAAGGCATGTGTGGCTGGGGAAGAGGGAGTTCTTTTGGAAGAAGAGGAAAGAAGAAAAAGCACAGGTGCCCTGGTGGCCGTTCTGTCTATAGCAATCACAGCTTCCTTCTGAGATAGTGTCTATTCAGTCTGGATGCTCACTTTTGAAAAAGCATGTTGCTTTTTTGATTAACGTTTGCAGTGTGGACGCTCTCTTGTGCTAGATTTGGTTTCAACAAAGGGAGAAACAGGTTGAGCATCTGAGAGTGAAAGGCAGCATGGGTGAAAGCGCTCGTAGAAAGCGAGAACTCATGCTGCTAAGGAACAGTAGAAGGGAGAACCACAAAATAAAGTCAGAATCTCGTCCGAAAAAAGCTTCTTGTGCAAGAAGCCTGTAGTCTAGACATAACCTGAGGCCGTGTTCACACTCAGGGCTTCTTTCGAAAAAAGTACCCTTTTTTTGAAAGAACTTCCCCTGTATCCAGACTCAAGCCGCGTTCTTTCGAAATTATTTCGAAAGAACACGGCTTTTCTTTCGATGGCGGTAAACCTCGTTTCACGAGGAAGAACGCCTTCCTTCGAAAGTTCCTCTTTCGAAGGAAGGCATTCTTCAATGTACAGAGGCCGTCTTCGAAAGAGAGCACCAGACTCGCTGGGTGCTCTCTTTCGAAAAAGCGGATTTCCTCTCTCGAAAGATCCGCCTGCAGTCTAGATGCGATCTTTCGAAAGAGGCTCTTTCGAAAGATGCTTTCGAAAGAGCCTCTTTCGAAAGAAGCCTGCAGTCTAGACACAGCCTGAGTGTCTTAGAGAGAATTCAGCTCTGAAAGTGTCATTAGCAAAATGTAGGGCCCTGGGTGGAGATCCTGATTGGGCCTGTCTGTACAAAATCAGTTTGACAGCCCAGACTTCTGTTGGGAAAACAACACAGCAGCACACCAATAGAGCAGTATGTTTTTGGAATGTACTGGAGTCCATTTTTAATTCTAGACGCTGGAGAAAGCTACTGGGGGGTGAGGTTTGTTGTTTTAGATTTGGTTTCAACAAAGAGGGAGAAACAGGTTGAGCATTTGAGAGTGAAAGGCAGCATGGGTGAAAGCGCTCGTAGAAAGCGAGAACTCATGCTGCTAAGGAACAGTAGAAGGGAGAACCACAAAATAAAGTCAGTGGCTTTCCAGAAAAGCAGAGTTTAGCAAACTCAGAGAGACGGGTAAGCGAGTCTAAGAGGAAAAACAATTGAGGACATTTTGTAATTTTTGCAAACAGAAATTATTAAGGGCACAAAAGCAAACTATCCCACTGCCTGGAAAAAAAGGAAGTAAGGTAAGAGACCACCCTGGCTTAACCAGAAGACATATACATCAAAATGGAGTCCTACAAAAAGTCCTTAAACTGGGTTAAGTTCAAAGGATGAACATAAACCAATAACACAAGAATGGAGGGACAACTTAGAAAGAATCATAGAACTGGAAGAGCCTTCAGAATATCATCATGTCCAGCCCCCTGCTCTAGGCAGGACCAATCCCAACTAAATCAACCCAGCCAGGGCTTTTTCAAACTGAGACTTAAACACCTCTAGGGATGGAGACTCCACTACTTCCCTAGGGAACCCATTCCAGTGCTTCACCACCCTCCTAGTGAAATAGTTTTTCCTAATATCCAACCTGGACCTCTCCCCCACAACTTGAGACCATTGCTCCTTGTTCTACCGTCTGTCACTACTGAGAACAGCCTCTCTCCATCCTCTTTGGAACCTCCCTTCAGGAAGTTGAAGGCTGATATCAAATCCCCCCTCACTCTTTGCTTCTGCAGACTAAACAGACCCAACTCCCTCAGCCTCTCCTCGTAGGTCATCTGCTCCAGCCCCCTAATCATTTTGGTTTAAGGCCAAGGGACTGAAGAACAGATCAAACTAGCTAGAGCAGGGATAGGCAAAAGAGCCCCCATGGGCCAGATCCGGCCTGCGGAGCCACTGCCAACCTTCTGCCCCAAAGCCAATTAGGGCCTAGGGATGGGGGAAGCGCGTGAATTGTCCTCCGCCTTGCCAGGAGCACGTGGCACTTTGAAGTGCCGCACGCTCCTGGGAGGGTGGAAGGAAGTTTAACGTGCTCCCCCATCCCCGGGCCCTGATTGGTCTGGGGGTGGGGTCAGCATGCAAAGCTTCCTTTTGCCCTGCCAGGAGTATGGGTGCTTAGGGGGGAGCGTTGGAGGTGGGTTTTTTTGCATCTCACTTGTGTGGCCCAAACTGACTTTTCTGAGGGTTGGTCCTTTTTGAAGTGGCCCCTGGCAAAAATGTATTGCCTATCCCTGACCCCATGGGCCAGATCCGGCCTGCCAAGCGGGTTGATCCGGCCTGCGGAGCCACTGCCAACCTTCTGCCCCAAAGCCAATTAGGGCCTAGGGATGGGGGAAGCGCGTGAATTGTCCTCCGCCTTGCCAGGAGCACGTGGCACTTTGAAGTGCCGCATGCTCCTGTCAGGATGCAGGGAAGTTTAACGTGCTCCCCCATCCCGGGGCCCTGATTGGTCTGGGGGTGGGGTCAGCATGCAAAGCTTCCTTTTGCCCTGCCAGGAGTATGGGTGCTTAGGGGGAAGAGGGAGCAAAGGGGCTTCCCCACCCCCAGACCAATTATGGTCTGGGGGTGGGGAATCCTGGAAGTATCCTGGCCCCACCCCTTCTGGTGTGGTCCTTTTTGAAGTGGCCCCTGGCAAAAATGTATTGCCCACCCCTGAGCTAGAGACACAAAGGGTAACAAGAAAACATTCCTCAAATACAAGAGCAAAGGAGAGTGTAGGCTTGTTACTCAACGAAGAGGGAAAAACAGTAATAGAAGACGTAGAAATGACAGAGTTGCTTGTTGACTTCTTTGTTTTACTTTTCACCAAGAAGGTTGGTGGCTAATCGACGCCTAATATAGAGAATGCCAGTGAAAATGGGGTAAGATCAGAAGCAAAAATAGGAAAAGAAGAAGTGAAAAATTAATTGTCAAAGTCATGGGATGTGGGAGAAATTGCAAAAGACCGGAAGAGAACAATTGCAGGGTATAAAGGAAAATAACGACAACCCAGGGAATTCCAGAGCAGTCAGTTTAATTCTGTACCAGGAAAGATAATGGAACCAATATCTAGAAGACAATAAGGTGGAAAGCAACAGTCAGCATGGATTGGTCAAGAACAAATCATGTCAAAGCAACCAGACTCATTTCTTCGCCAGGGCACATCTTGCAGATAGAGAGGAAGAAATGTTTATGCATAGCTGCATGTTAGTAAGGCCTTTAATATAATCTCTCTTGACCTTCTCACTAAGAAACTAGGGATACACAACATACATGGAGTGACTATGAGGGGGGTCCATAACTGGTGTGATAACCATTCCCAGGGAGGCTATCAATGGTTCACAGTCATGCTGGAGGGCATAAGAGGTGGGGTTCTGCAGGGATCAGTTTTGGGTCTTCCTCAGTCATTTAGTTGATGTCATGGAGAGTACACTTGTCATGTCTGTGAGTGATACCGCCCTGGGAGGGGTTACAAGTATTCTGGAGGAGAGGATGTTAGTTCAAAATGATTAGGAAAACTGAAGAAAAGGTCTGAGGGAAATAGGATGAAGTTCAACGAAGACAAATGCAAAGTGCTCCCTGTAGGAAGGAACAATCAATGGCACATCTGCAAACTAGGAAACGGGCCGGCCTGCAGACTGGAGAAGGTGGCAAGGAGACAAAAGGGGGACAAAAGGGACAGTTGAGCCAGAGCCCGGAAATTCCAAGGGACCCAGGTCTTGAGGTGATGGCACAGCAAGATTACAGCTGCAATAATGACCCTGGCATTACACCCCCAAGGGAGCCATGTGAGTAATCACGACAAGAATAGTCCAGATTCCAGGAACCGAGCACACAGCAGGGCTTGGTGTAGGTTAATAGCATCCCCACATATCCCTGTTGGGTTTGCTGTTTGGAAATGGCAGCTTCTCATTAGCTGTGACGGGGTTAAAGCTGGTGCACATGAAGCCAAGCAGCTGAGGTTCCCTGATGGCCAAGTGGCCCCAAGGAAAGGTACAAACATGCTGCATAAAGGCAGTTGCCTCCCTAGCTGAACACAGACTGCCTGCTGCCCGTGCAACCTCTCTGTCCCTCGCTGAACACAGACTGCCTGCTGCCTGTGCAACCTCTCTGATGACTCCGTGTCCTTTACAGTGAAGCTGTCTGGTGCCAGCGGCTCCCTTCTAGCAGGAACTGGGTACGTTGTCAGGTTTCACTGTCGGTAACATGCCAAGTGCAGGGCAAAGGCTGCAGGCTGTTCAGGGCTGGGGGGCTGGCCGCACTAGGTAGATGGGGAACCCTCCCCTCCATTCACCCATGCTCCTCAGTGAGTTATTCAAACTGCACCAAAATTGACATTAAAAACAAGATGGGAGTGTTAAACTCTGATGCCCCGAGTCAGGGATTTCTCAGTTGGTCCCATTTCTAGTGGTGCCATGTGCTCTGTGCCTGATCCTGCCAGGGGCTGAGTCCAAGGACTCCCCCAGAATATCAGTGACTAGTTCCCAAATTGCCTCAGCTTTATTTGCTCCTGCACATTTAATCAGCAGGCATTTTTTAAAAGTTTTCATTCTCAGGTTCGGTAGCGGAGGCAGGAATCCACAGCCTTGTGGCTCTCTAGTAACAGGTCCAACGGGACTTTTTCCTGGTTCCTAACTGGCTGAGGGCTCCCACACATCTCAGAGGTAAAAAAGCTGCTGGCATCTCTGCCTCTCTCTGATCTGTGAGTGATAGATGTCAGGCCTCGTACCCAGCCCTCTCATGGGACAAGTCCCACAAACCTTCCACCCTCTGATTGGGCCCTGGGCTACAGCGCACTGCACGTCAACTGTCCTCCCTCTCTTGTTTGCTGACAAGTGACCGAAGTATGGCTGAGGGGCTACGATCTTGCCAGGTTTTGAAGAAATCCAGATGAGAGATGCTAGATTTTAAGTCCCACTCTAGCCTGAGAAATCCTCTCTGTGAGAAATCATCTCTGCAGGGCTTAACTCTAAATAAGCTACTCAAATTGAGCTACGTTAATTGCATATCTTATTTAGAAATAGCTTATTTCAAAATTGGGAGCATCTACACAGCCCTTATTTTGAAATTGAGCACTCTTCCTCCGACTTCCCTTACTCATACAGTGAGGGTTCCAGGAGTCGGAGTAAGAAGTCCTTCAGCTGGACAGTACTTTGACACTATTCCAAAATAACTGCCTCCTGTGTAGATGCGGACTAAGTTCTTTTGGAGTAGTATTGCCGTGTAGACGTACTCTGTGAATATCAGACAGGAAAGTATTGGTCAATGTGTGTGTGCTAAAGTATATGCATGTAAATGTTATGCTAAAACTTTTCATTGTAATAAAAAATATTACAAACCAACCAGTCGTGACATGAAAGTGTGGTGAAAAGCCATGAGTGGGCTATCCACACAAAGGAGCAGTGGTAACATTTCTGAAAATAGCTTTTGATTTAGACAGTATCTTGGAAGGACTCGAAATACTGCTTACGATTAAGAATAGTGATAGAGATGCAGCTGTGTTAGTCTGGTCTAGCTGAAATAAAAACAGGACTATGTAGCACTTTAAAGACTAACAAGATGGTTTATTAAGTGATGAGCTTTCGTGGGCCAGACCCACTTCCTCAGATCAATTTCTTCCACAATTTGAGGAAGTGAGTCTAGCCCACAAAAGCTCATCACTAATAAACCATCTTGTTAGTCTTTAAAGTGTTGCATAGTCCTGTCTTTTGTTTACGATTAAGTCTTTGTTCAGTGAACAGTTATATGATCCTAGCTCCTGGTAACTGACCAGAAGCTGTTTCTAACACTTACACTCAGGGTCATCAACCCAAACCTCTGCAACAGCTATGCAAAATTTTAGAAAACTTTCATAGAAAATAGAGCTGCTGGTCGGTGTTTTAGCAAAGACTAGAGCTGAGGTGCAGGAAAAGGGATTGTAATAGTGGTTGAAAATAATTTACACACATCACCTCGTTCTTGAACATAGCTGAAGTCATTGGCACACGTAGCTTTGTATCTGTGCAATGCCAGTGTTTGCACTATTAACCCATTTGTGATATCAACCATGCCCTGGCCCAACTGATGTCCTTGTCTGTGTTAGCTTGTAACTTGCCAGATATCTAGCAACCCTGTTCTGGGGCAAAGATGCAGGTTCTGGGAGGATGAAGAGAAGCCTGTAGGATGAGTAACATCTCTGGATGCAGTCATCACAGGCCAGACAAAGCCCGAAGACATCCTAAGAATAAATCGCTTGTCCTTCGAATAGGAAGTGGTGTATTTTACATTCTCAGGTATGGAGAAAATATATATACCACAGACAAGCTATCCCTTGGGCAGATGTTTATATATGTCACAATAAAAAGGGTCACATTCACAAGAGGAAGGCCGGAAACTCAACATTGTAAATTCACATTGTGTACAAGTAGACTGCGGAACACCCAAGAAAATGGATTCAAGAGCTTAGTGGGATTCAAAGAGGGAATGGATGTTTATATGGGTAACCAGAAACCCCCAAAAAGTCTAGAAAGGGCTCCAAACCTTCCTGATTGACATGACAAAATATGTGTAGCTAGTGGGTGCTTGGGGGAAACTTTCCCTAGGACCAGGTTATCTCATAGCTGCCTCTGGAACTGAACACTGGATACTAAGCTAAAATGACTATAAATACAATCCTGTCTGAAGAACCAGTCTTCCTAGTAGTGCTGTGATTGCAAGACGATAATTTTGCTGATCTTTCATGACCTCCTAGAGTCCTTAGAATTATACTGAGAGCAGAAAGCTGTCTCATTAAACATTCTTGACTATCCTTTTCTTTCTGCTTTCAGGAAGGAAAGTTCAGATTTCCTTGGACCTGCTCAATACATGATGTTAACTGTTAATGACACCAAATCCATACATGCCGTGTTCCTTCTCAGCGGGGTGCCTGCACAGCAAGAAGTCCATCTCTGGATTGCTGTTGCCTTCTGCATAATGTACGTCATTTCAATAGTAGGGAATTCAGTCATTCTGTTCATTATAAAAACAGATCCAAGCCTCCATGAGCCCATGTACATTTTCCTTTCCATGTTGGCCGTCACAGACCTTGGGGTATCGATGACCACCATGCCAACAATATTGGGAATATTCTTGTTTAACTCTAGAGAGATCCGTTTTAATGCCTGTTTTGCGCAGCTGTTTTTCATTCACATACTTCAATGCACTGAATCTGCTGTTCTCTTGCTGATGGCCTTTGATCGCTTCCTCGCAATCAGTGACCCACTGAGATACGCCTCCATTTTAACCCCATCGAGAATAGCTAAGATGGGACTGGTGTTTGTGCTAAGAGGGGTGGCTGTAGTATTCCCATTCCCCCTTCTCCTGCAACGGTTCCTATATTGTCGAGGAAACGTCCTCTCCCATTCCTACTGCCTGCACCAGGACGTCATGAAATTGGCTTGTTCAGACATCAGGGTCAATATTATCTATGGCTTATTTACCAAACTGTTAACAATGGGGTTGGACTCGCTGCTCATCTTCCTTTCTTATGTGCTGATCCTCAAAACGGTGCTGAGCATCGCGTCCCGCATGGAGAGCTTCAGGGCCCTGAACACCTGCGTCTCCCACCTCTGCGCCGTCCTGCTCTTCTACGTACCAGAGATTAGCTTGTCTGTGATATACAGATTTCCAACAGGCTCGTCTCACTTGCTTCAGGTTCTCCTGGGCTACATCTCCCTGTTCATCCCACCCCTGATGAACCCAGTGGTGTACAGCGTGAAAAGCACACACCTTCGTGCGAGGATCATCAGGGTGTTCATCAAGTGAAGGGTCCGTTCATCACCTATCTTCAGTGACTGGAGAGATGGGAAATAAAGAACACGGTTTGAGTGCATCTATACAGCACCTTAACTCGAAATAAAATATACAATTTGAGCTATGCAAACTCAGTTGGGCTGTCGGGGTGACTCAGTGATGGTTATTTCGATGCAATTTCAAAATAGCTTGTTTCGTCCTTTGACACTGTCTGCACAGCACCACATTTCGAAATAACCTGCTATTCTGAAACGTCCCTTACTCCCCTGTGATTTTGCCATTAGGAAATGGCAGTTTCCAATTAACTGTCCTGGGGTTAATTCTGGTGCACATGAAGCCAAGCAGCTGAGGTTCCCTGATGGCCAAGTGGCCCCAAGGGAAGGTACAAACATGCTGCATAAAGGCAGTGGCCTCCCTATCTGAACACACACTGCCTGCTGCCCATGCAACCTCTCCAATGACTCCTTGTGCTTCAGGGTAAAGACTTCTGGTGCCAGAGGCTCCCTTCTAGCAGGAACTGGGTACGTTGGCAGGTTTCACTGTCTGTTTTGCATTGGCAGCTGTTCTGTGCAGCGGCAGAGGACTCAGCTGGGCTGTCAGGGTGACTCAGTGATGGGGCGGGAGGGCAGGCAGCTTTGGAACCCTCCCCTACCTCTGCCCATGCTCCATGATGGGCTATTCAAACTGCACAAAAATTGACTTTGAAAGCCAAATTGTTAAAACTCTGATGCCCTGAGTCAGGATTTCTCAGTCGGTCCCGTTTCTGATTCCCAAATTGCCTCAGGCTTCTTTGCTCCTGGAAATTCAATCACCAACTACGTTTTCAAAGGTTTTATTCTCTGGCTCGATTGTGAGGGCAGGAATTCAGAGCTGGGTTGTTCTGTGCTGCCCATGCAACCTCTCCAATGACTCCTTGTGCTTCAGGGTAAAGACTTCTGGTGCCAGAGGCTCCCTTCTAGCAGGAACTGGGTACGTTGGCAGGTTTCACTGTCTGTAACATGCCAAGTGCAGGGCAAAAGCTGCAGGCTGTTTGCATTGGCAGCTGTTCTGTGCAGCGGCAGAGGACTCAGCTGGGCTGTCAGGGTGACTCAGTGATGGGGCGGGAGGGCAGGCAGCTTTGGAACCCTCCCCTACCTCTGCCCATGCTCCATGATGGGCTATTCAAACTGCACAAAAATTGACTTTGAAAGCCAAATTGTTAAAACTCTGATGCCCTGAGTCAGGATTTCTCAGTCGGTCCCGTTTCTGATTCCCAAATTGCCTCAGGCTTCTTTGCTCCTGGAAATTCAATCACCAACTACGTTTTCAAAGGTTTTATTCTCTGGCTCGATTGTGAGGGCAGGAATTCAGAGCTGGGTTGTTCTGTGGTAAATGGTCTGACAGAGCAAATTTCTGTTTCCTGACTGGCTGAGGACTCCAGCACTTCTGCCTTGTAGATACCCCTTGGGCTACATCTACGCTGCACTCGTCTTCCACAAAAGCTTATGCAAATGAAGCGTCAAGTAGCATATCGCTGCACTTCATTTGCATAAGCTTTTGCGGAAGAAGGGTGCAGTACAGATGCAGCCTTAAAAGGGCTACTGGCAGCACTGTCTCTCACTGGTCTGGGAGTATCATATTTCACACTTCATAGTCTGTCCTGTCAAGCGGTGGAATCCCACGATCCTTCCACCTTCTGACTGGGCCCGGGGCTACACGAGTCAGGATTTCTCAGTCGGTCCCATTTCAGATTCCCATATTGCCTCAGGCTTCTTTGGTCCTAGAAATTCAATCACCAACTATGTTTTCAAAGGTTTTATTCTCTGGCTTGATTGTGAGGGCAGGAATTCAGAGCTGGGTTGTTCTGCGGTAAATGGTCTGACAGAGCAAATTTCTGTTTCCTGACTGGCTGAGGGCTCCAGTACTTTTGCCTTGTAGATACCCCTTGGGCTACATCTACGCTGCACTCGTCTTCCACAAAAGCTTATGCAAATGAAGCGTCAAGTAGCATATCGCTGCACTTCATTTGCATAAGCTTTTGCGGAAGAAGGATGCAGTACAGATGCAGCCTTAAAAGGGCTACTGGCAGCACTGTCTCTCACTGGTCTGGGAGTATCATATTTCATACTTCATCGCCTGTCCTGTCAAGTGGTGGAATCCCATGATCCTCCCACCTTCTGACTGGGCCCGGGGCTACAACCCACTGAGGGTTGACTGTCCTTCCCCTTTCGTTTGCTGACCAATGACTGAATTATGGCTGAGAGGCTACGATCTTGCCAGGTTCTGAAGAAATGACATTTTAAGTCTCCCTTTAAGCTGAGAAAGTCTGAGGAAGTGGGTCTGGCCCATGAAAGCTCATCACCTAATAAACCATCTTGTTCGTCTTTAAAGTGCTACACAGTTCTGTCGTTTGTTTGTCTATAAGGCTGTGTCTAGACTGCAGGGTTTTTTCGAAAAATGTAGCCTTTTTTCGAAAAAACTTCACTTGCGTCTAGACTACAGCCGCGTTCTTTCGGAATTAAATCAAAAGAACGCGGAGTT